TTCCATAAGAATAAGTTGTATTCACTTATTACTTAAGCAGTTTTGTTTTAAAGAAAAATAAATAATGCATGAGAAATGTTTTAAAGCTACTGTTTTCAAACAAATTCTGGGAGCCACAAAGATGTTTGGAAATAAGTGGGGTGCCACGGTGGAGATGGGAGCAAGTTGGAGAGGCCCCAGTTCTCCCAGGCCCCCAAACCTCTAGCTTCATGTAGAATTTCCATGTAGAAATATCACTTTTAAATTATTAGGGTTTCCATTAAAAAAATAAATTTCTGCTGCTTAGAAAAATAAAGTTTGTAGATCACTTTATCAAAGGACACTACGGTTTTAAATTTATTCCTACCAAGAACAGTGAATCAATTAGAGTTAGTAATCTATCAATAGATGCATGATTTTTATTTCTGGTTGCATTTGAGGTTAGTTTCTCTGGGCCCTGGTGCAAGAGATGGATGGGAGAGGGAGGATTCGGGGAATGGGTGGTAAATGTCCTCAGGAGGAAGGAATTGGTTAAGACTCAGGATTTTGGAAGAGGTAGGAGACTGAATTCACTTGGGAGGCAGGGCTGTGAGGGGTGCCAATATCAGTGTATTGGGGGTAGGGATGGGGAGTGATAGCATTGGGGATGGGGAACTATTTTATTTAACTTGACCTGTCATTTTTCACAGTGCAAATCTAAATCTTAAGTCAAGGTTCTTTATCTCTTTTTTGGTCCCATTTCTGCAGACCACCTGACTCTTCTTAAAGAACTGATGTCTTTACATGCTTGTCTGTTCCTTGTTCTGCATTCTGCGCACAATGCAGGTCCTGCACCAGTGACCTCACAGCTTTTGCGTGAACCCTCCCCTCTGGTGGGGACACACGTCACACTTTTCTGGGCCTAGACATCATATTCTGGGGCTTCTGACTGAACAAACTCAGCTGCTCTAGAAACCTGAATACCAAGTACTCCTTTGGGTCCAAGTGGAGAAGCAGCCACCAATGTATATTTAAAAACAACACAACAAAACAAAACCTTGGGAGAAAGGAGAAAAACAAGAACAAAGAGAAAGGGAAGAATAAAGGGAGAGGGAAGAAGATAAAGAAGAAGAATTAGCAAAGAATAGCGCTGGGGAGACACTCCGAGAGGAACTTTGGAGAGAAGTCTAGCTGTGGATCCAGTGGTGTGCTTTCACAGCTTGCCGATTTCTGTGATGTAAACACTCACAATGCGACTGATTAATTTCAGGCTACCAATGTGGTGCCACTGAATGTGGAGTTGGGAAGCAACGTGGGAGGAAATGCACACAGTCAGCTCTCATGAGGTTATATGAGCAATCCGCCTAAAGCAACCCACCCACCAAGAACAGCAAAAAGAGGGGAAGAACGTACAGGGGTCTCTTCCCCACTGCCCAGTCTATTGCTAGTTTATGGCAAGTGGAAAGGCAGAAGCGTACTTTGGATTCCAGCAGGTGATCACAGGCTTCATGGTGTGGTGGGTGTGGTCGATAGTCAGGGCTTCCAGAAGCCAGTGGAGGGCACAGAGCTGGCGGAAGAGGGGCTCGCTGCAAAGACAGAGAGGGGACACAGTGGGATCCTGTTAGAACAACTTTCTTCACAATAACCACCACAGGTGTAGTCGTGTGCTTGGCTCCCATAGAGAGCTGGCACCACACTCCAGGCATGTACGAGTACTTTGCATACATCATCTCATGAGACCATCACAATGGGTCCAGGAGGTCTTCATTAATCCCATTTTACAGATGAGGAATCTAAGGCTTGGGGTAGTCAAGGAAGTTGAGCCAGGTCACTGGCCACCGGGTGGCAGAGCCATGATTTGAAATGAGATAATGCTATGCCAGTTACTTGGAGTTTGTGTGTGTAGAGGGAAGAGAGAATGGAGGGGTCCCCCAGCAGGAAATCTTGATCCCAGGCTAACGAGAGGAATAAAGGAAATTAATATCCTACGGGTGTCCAATTGTTAATATGATAAAAGTATAATAAATAAATTAAGAGTGTGCAAAAAGTCTGGAAACACAGGGAAATTAGTGTACTCATTGTACTTTTTTTTTTTCCAGATTAACAATTGGATCCGTTTCTTTAAATTTAGTAAGTCCTTTACCTGAAAATGTAGCTGGAAGTTGAAGAAAAAAGCATTGAGCATATTATTTGGAAATGTAATTAAAACACTATTTAAAAATATGTCTAATTTACATTTCCTGATTTTTTGGACACTTTGTATT